CATCTGTATTAGGGTTCTCTAGAGGGAGAGAACTAATAGGATATTTTGTATATACATATATACATATATGTGTGTGTATATGCATACATATGGAGTTTACTAAGTATTAACTTACACAATCACAGGGTCCTGCAATAGGCTGTCTGCAAGCTGAGGAGCAAGGAGAGCCAGTGCGAATCCCAAAACTGAAGAACTTGGAGCCCGATGTTCAAGGACAGGAAGCATCCAGCATGGGAGAAAGATACAGGCTGGGAGGCTAGGCCAGTCTCTCTTTTTCACATTTTTTTGCCTGCTTTATATGCACTGGCAGCGGATTAGATTGTGCCCACCAGATTAAGGGTGGATCTGCCTTCTTCAGCCCACTGACTCAAATGTTAATGTCTTTTGGCAACACCCTCACAGACACACCCAGGATCAATACTTTGTATCCTTCAATCCAATCAAGTTGACACTCAGTATTATCCATCACAAGTCCACTGCTTGTCAACTTGAACCCATATATATCTCCTGAGATCATACATCATCTTCAAATAAAGACAATATTATAAGGTCATAATTATGCCTAACATAATACAGCTGTCCTTTGTACAACCGGAAATGCACCAATCCCCAGCCCAAATACTATTACATAAAGTTAATAATATTTAAATGCCCACATGAAGTCGGTAAACCTTATGCCACATGATAAAGGAAAAGGAAATAAAGATATACACTTAGTACAAGTGTATACGTGCACAAACATGTTTTTAACAGAAGGAGGAGGAAATACTCATGATAATTACACTCCCCGTTTCTGCAGTGGTCTCATGGTAGTAGCTGGTATTGATGACTACCTTCTTCTACTACCCATTCTGTATTCCCTTTGCCTTCAGCAAGCACCTCAGCAGGTCGTGTTTTTTTTCCCTTGTGGAGTGACCCAAACATTCATTCCTGGGGAGCCTGGGCCATTTGTAGTCCTGCCTGGATTGGGCTCTTGTAGTTTCCCATTGACCTTAATCACAGGACATGGTAATACTAAGAGACACTCTAATGGATCTCCTGTATTCCATGCATACTCTTCCTTACCTCCATTGTGGATTAATAGACTGATTTCATCTTGATAGTCTGGGTCAGTCACCCCAGCCAACACTGTAACTCCCCTCTTAGCCGGTTGACTTAAAGGTAGGAGGAGCCCAAAGTGTCCAGGTGGCAATGTTAATGTCCAGTTTAATGGAACCGTTGTTGTCTCCCCTGGTGACAGCGTTCCTCCCTCTGGAACTAAGACCTCTAGGCTGGCAGAAGGTAATGTCGTGGGAACATTTTGCTAGTGGAAGGAAAAATTTTGCTAGTGGATCACTAGGGGTGATGGTGAGTGGTGCCACTTCCACTTCCACCGTTGATTCCTGAACCCGTGAATCCTGGTTATGGGAGAAACAGTACTATATATTGTATGCCAATTCAGAGCATACACAGCCTTCTAGAGAACTTTGCCCCAGCCCTGCAAAGTATTGTCACCTAGTTGGCATTGTAATTGTGAATTCAAAAGGCCATTCCACCATCTGTCAATCCAGCTGCTTCAAGATGATGGGGAGCATGGCAAGACCAGTGAATTCCGTGAGCATGAGTACATTGTCGCACTTCTTTATCCATAAAGTGAGTGCCTCGGTCAGAGGCAATGTTGTGTGGAATACCAAGACAGTGGAAAAGGCATTCCATGAGTCCATGGATGGTAGTCTTGGCAGAAGCATTGCATGCAGAATAGGCAAACGCATATCTGGAGTAAGTGTCTATTCCAGTGAGGACAAACCTCTTCCCTTTCCATGATGGAAGAGGTCCAGTATAATCAACCTGCCACCAGGCAGCTGGGTGATAACCCCGAGGGATGGTGTCACATCGGGGGCTCAGTGTTGCTTGCTTCTGCTGGCAAATTGGGCACTCAGCAGTGGCTGTAGCCAGGTTAGCCTTGGAGGATGGAAGTTCATGTTGCTGAGCCCATGTGTAACCTCCATCCCTGCCACCACGGCCACTTTGTTCATGGGCCTACTGGGCAATGACAGGGGTGGCTGGGGAAAGAGGCTGAGTGGTGTCCACAGAATGGGTCATCCTGTCCACTTGATTATTAAAATCCTCCTCTGCTAAAGTAGCCTATTTGTGAGCACTCACATGGAATACAAATACCTTCCTGGTTTTTGATCACTCAGGTCCATTCGCATACCTTTTTCCCAGATTTCTTTGTCACCAATTTTCCAATCATGCTTCTTCCAAGTCCCTGGCCATCCAGCCAAAAACCCTTGGCTACAGCCCATGAATCACTATATAATCACACATCTGGGCATTTCTCCTTCCACGCAAAGTGCACAACCAGGTGCACTGCTCAAAGTTCTGCCAACTGGGAAGATTTCCCTTCAGTGCTGTGCTTCAGAGGTATCCCAGTAAGAGGCTGTAGTGCTGCAGCTGTCCACTTTGGGGTGGTGCCTCCATATCCTGCAGAACCATCTGTGAACCAGGCCCTGGTTCTCTTCCTCTGCCAACTGATCATAGGGAACTCCCGATGAAGGCATCTATGCAACCTGGGGAAGAGAAGGCAGGGTGGCAGGAGTGGAGACCATGGACGTTTGAGCCACTTCCTTATGTGACTTACTTGTGCCTTCAGGACCTGCTTAAACCCGATCACGTATATGCCACATTCATTTGATGATAGAGTGCTGCTGTGTACAGACCACTTTATGGTCAGATGGGTCAGAAAGCTCCCAGTTCATGATAGCCAGTTCAGGTTGCATGGTGACTTGATGACTCATAGTCAAACGTTCAGTTTCCACCAAAGCTCAGTAATGGGCCAAGAGCTCTCTCTCAAAAGGAGCATAGTTATCTGTAGAAGATGGCAGGGCCTTGCTCCAAAATCCTAGAGACCTCTGCTGTGATTTACCTATGGGGGCCTGGCAAAGTCTCCAGACAGCATCCCTAACTGCCACTGACATCTTAAGCACCATTGGATCTGCTAGGTCATATGGCCCAAGTGGCAGAACAGCTTGCACAGCAACCCGGACCTGTTGCAGAACCTTCTCCTGTTCTGGATGCCAGGCTGTTTTATTTGGTAAAGTGAATGATTGAAGGTCTTGGGGCTAAAACGGTCTGAACCTATTCTCAAACTTTAAATGGGTTAGAAACCTGGCTTGCTGGCATAGAGCCAGGCGTGGGATGTGAGTCCACTTTTGGTAAGCAGAACTGGCACTGCGGGATGAACTGAATGCCGGGTTAAGGCACCCGATGCTGATGCTCATCAGACACCCCACTCTTGGTACCAAAATCTGTATTAGTCAGGGTTCTCTAGAGGGACAGAACTAATAGGAGATATATACAAATATAAAGGGAAGTTTATTAAATATTAACTCACGTGTTCACAAGGTTTCAAAATAGGCTGCCTGCAAACTGAGGAGCAAGGAGAGCCAGTCCGAGTCCCCAAACTGGAGCACTTGGAGTCCGATGTTTGAGGGTGGGAAGCATCTAGCCTGAGAGAAAGATGTAGGCTGGGAGGCTAGGCCCATCTCTCTTTTTCACATTTTTCTGCCTGCTTTATATTCGCTGGCAGCTGATTAGATTGTGCCTGCGAGATTAAGGGTGGATCTGCCTTTCCCAGCCCACTGACTCAAATATTAATCTCTTTTGGAAACACCCTCACAGACATACCCAAGATCAATACTTTGTATCCTTCCATCCAATCAGGTTGACACTCAGTATTAACCACCACAGTGTCCAATTATTTCTTTAGATTGTAATACTCTTTTCCATTTAAATTGTATTTTCAGAAATATTTGATGTCAGTAGATATTTCTTGAAATGTGATTTCAATGATTATATCTGTGTTCATCTACGATGAATAACTTTTTAAATCTAAATTGTTTTTATTATTATCTTTTAATTTTTCTTTTTTAGAATTAGAATTTGAACACTAGAAGTGTATCATTGCAATTTTAAATTACATTTCATTTTCTTGTGAATTTGAACACTGTTTTATGATGATTGAATATATTTCTATAGGGTGTGTGCCTTTTTGTTTGAATTGTAAGAGCTCTTTATTTGTTAAGAACATTGGCCCATTGTGTTTGATATTTGCACAGGTATTTCTAGATTTTTCTGTGCCTTTTAATTTTCATTATTGTGTGTGTGCATTTGTGTGTGTGTGTGTTTGCGTGTATGTGCTTTAAAAGAGAGAGGAAGAGAGAGGATTTAGGGTTATTTGGGTTTTTGGTGTGTCTTCTGTTGCTACTATGATAAAGTCCTCTATCTGGGGATTTAAAAATATATGGCTATTTTTCTTAGAGTTTTTTTTTAACTTTAGTTCGCTTGAAAATATTTTAATGTATGGTATGGAGTAAAGATATTTTTTGAATAGTTAACCAGTTATTTCACCATAGTGTATTACTAATTATCTTTCCCATGTTTATTTGTAATACATTCTTTAACATATTGTCTTTTTAAGGTTGGTCATGTATTTTATATTTTTATATTTTTTAAAAGTGAAGAGTAATTATTTTTCAGAAGAATAATCATCAGACAATTCAGACAAGTTTTCCTGTAAGAGAAAGCTGTCATATTAAAATGCACACTTATTTTTTCAAATTATTTTATGTGCTTTTGAAAGTAAATGGTTAATTCAAACTCTTGATTGTTAATCTATCAGATGCTTGATGACATACCTCCCTCAGCAAAATAGTGTATTAACTATTTATTACAGACTGTGTTTATTGCAGACTATGGATATTTTTGTTGATCTGTAGGATTCCTGACTAGCTGTTCACATATCCCACTTTTACCATGACACTACTTTCAAGATCATTAATTGCATCAGATATGGAGACAATATTAGGGGATTTTCTTCTTGAAGGAATGTTCCTATAAGTTACTAATTACCATGCTATGCCTTAATATGTTTTTGTAACTTTACAAATGAATATAAAGGTAACATTTTTTCCACTTTGTTTCCATCTTCTTGTTTTAGATAGTCATTTTTACTTGAAGGAAGCTGCTTCAACTTGGGAGTGGCAGGAGAAGTGAGAAAACCACATGGAAGACTCCCAGGATTTAAATGAACAATCAGTAAGTCTTCATTCTCAGTTTTGCTGGAAAAAAGTTGCGATAACACTACTGAAAATCATACGTAAAAGGGATATATTGTAAGAAGTAAGTTTTTCATTAAATATATTTTTAAATGATTTTTGAATTTTCTTTCAAAGACCATGAAACAGACTTGGAGATATATGCTGTTTCTGCTTAATGAGGATGTCACATTTTGATGTCTTCCTTGATTTTCTACTTGGAAAGCCAGTGGTGGAAAGACTAGGGCATTGAGATCATGATGCATGTTTTAGACAGTCTAAACAATTGTATACACTTCCTTTATTATTTTATTTCCGATATGCTGGATATTGCTGACTATCAGAAGTATAGAAGGAGAAAGTATATTATTAGCATGCTTGTTGCTCATTTTAAGGAGGAAAGAAACCATAGTTCTCAAGAGCTTTTTGTATTTTACTAGATTCGTTGCAGGACCAAGGATGCACCAGACTGACGGCAATACTTTGAAGATTCTGATTTCTCAAAGGGAAAGGCTCTTTGCAACCTTTCCTCCTAGCTTGTTAGTGGTGTCTCTGTGACAGTGGTTCTTTAGTGTGTGGAACTAGAGGCAATGGGAGGGCTTCCCTCACACCCCCACACCTTCACACTACTGGAAGCTGTCCTTTGAGCTGTTTTGCATACAGGCAACTCATGGTGCTACAAGGAACAAGACCTGTACCTACTGAGAGTGTGTTCTGCAGTCTGATGTTGTTCTTTTTTTTTTTTTTTTGATGCCATTCTTTATTAGCTTATGTGATCATGACCTAATCTTACAGTCAAATGTTTCTCCATCAGGCAACTGAGGAAAAGATACTCATATATAATAATGGGTTTTAGAACAGGTACATGTGATGAGTTTAATTTTAAGACAGATGTATATTCTGGTGCCATTTGAAGTTAATTTGATTTGCTTTGTAGTGAATATTTTATTTAAAAGAAATGATAGCCATACCTTTAATTTGGATAGACATGACCATAGTCTAATTTCGTTATATATTATTATTTATTTCACATGGCATCATAGGAAAAACGTAACAAAAAGTTATAAAGTGAAAAAACTACAAAATCTGTCAAATCATAGAGATACATTCCTCTAGAATTATGTGACTCCTTTAGTAAGGTAAACAGAAATGGCTATGGGAAGGCAAGGGTTTTAAAACTTTTAAAAATGCTGGTTATTGACTGTAAATATTCACAGAATGGACTCTGGCAAAATGGAGGTTAGTCATCATGACTGTTGGAATCAGAGGTCTGTCTGTGTGACTATGGTGGAGTTGAATAGTTAGTAGTAAGTGTTGATAACATCTTAGTGGTGATGCTTCATTAAAGGAGTACTGTTGATCTGAACTTTGTTCTAATACACCGAGGGTCACATACAAGTGTGTGTGTATATGCAAGTATGTGTATGTATGTGTGTGTATATGTTAGAGTGACCAACGGTCTTTGTTTCCAGAGACTGAGGGGTTTCTAGGGACACAGAACTTTGAGTGCTAAAGCAGGCAGAGTTTGGGAAAACCAGATGGTTGATTCTGTTAATTACTATAGGGTGTGTATATACTCAAGAAAGAATTTTATTTTCAATGCAGTTGAGAATGTATTTTTATGTTTAACACTAAAGTGACGTGTTATTAAAGATGCATCATATCACCGTTCACAAAATGAAGCACAGAACTTGTAAATCAGATATGGTGTCCTTCTAGTGATATTTTAAGGTCATAGAGCTCACTATTTCTTTTTGAAGTATGTTTTTAAAAGTTTCCAGTGATGCTAATGAGCAGTCAGGTTTGAGAACAGGAAATCTAGGGTGACCTGCTTACCCTCTCAGCTTGAACCCATTTGCTGAATTTAAATTTCAAACATGTAGACCAATGTATTCACCTCGCAAATGTGGAAAGAGATGCTTAGAACTGTTAAATGGCTTGCCCATATTGGCATGGCTGGTAAGAGGCAGAGTTGGGACTTCACACAGTTCTTCTGACTCCAAGTCCAAAGCTCTCTCCCTAACATCAACATGCCTCATTGCTTTTGGGTTATGCATATTATGGCATCTATAGAAATGTCGGAAAAAATAAAAAAGAAAAGAAAAAGAGTCAGCCTTTTTACATGGAAGTGATTTATCTTTGAATGAAATCTTTAAATGACTCTAAATTTTGTGGAGTATATTAATGTCTCAAAATATTTTGAAAAATGATAAATTTATTAAGATATAGAACAAGTAGGGGTGGAATTAAAGTTCATAGTTCGGTGAAAGTGAATTTACACATATCGTTGCTATTTTGGTTCAAGGGGGATTCTTTGGGCGTAGACATAGCAGTAGGAGTCATTTATGGCACATGCACACTGCATCTAGCATTTTCCATATACTCTCTCCAGTTCTTACCATGTATCCCTTCATTGCAATTTTTAAGCTCACCGTTTTATAGATGAAACTATGACATAGAGAGTGTCACGGTCAAACAGCTGTTAAGTAGCAGAGATCAGAATTAAACCTACTTCTTTCTAGCTGGTCCCAAAACTTTTAATGGATTTTGCATGATACAACATAATATGGTAGTTAAGGGCATAAGCTATAAAATCAGATTTCCCTATCACTTAAATACTTTAAAGCCATTGGGAAATTACTTAAACTCTTCCTCCTCTATGGAGTGGAAGGATATTAAAAAGATGTTTTATGAAGTGCTTGCGTATGCCTCACTTAGAGTAAACATTCAATAAATGTTAGCTACTGTCACAAATACCTGAGATATTCAGATGCTCTTTAATGATATTCATTCATTCTAGCATATCCAGCTACTGACCAGACATCCCTTCCTGGAAGTTCACAGGTCCACACACTCAGCAAATGAAAAATAAATACACCAGCTCTCCTCCCCTCTCCCAGCTTTTCTCCTTTTGTCCTTTGTGCCAGTATTACTCATCTCAGTGTGATGGCATCATCAGCTACTGAATGGGTTATGGCAGAAAAGAGGTAGTAATCCTCCTTTTCTTCATCCCCCGTCTCAAAGCTTTGTCCACTCTTAATGTTTAATGTCATTCAAAGCTATTCTTTTTGCTGGAGCTCCCTTAGTTTAGCTGAGATCTTTATTTTATCTCTTGACTTTCTTATTTTACTTTAAGTTGCTTCCAGAGTTGTCTTCCTAAAATACAACCCTGATCACATCACTACCCTCATTTTTATCCTTCACAAACCCTTTCTTTCTTTCAAGGGAGAGGCTCAAGTGTGTCATCAAGCATACAGAGCTTAATGCTTATTTATTTCTTCAGTTTTTTTTTTTTTCTCCTGGTTTCTGAATCTCCCAGGTTCTCTGAGGTCTTTATGCATTTGCAAGTGCTTTAACGTCTTCCCAGAGGGGTCTCTTTCCCACCAGGATAACCTGTGATTCTTGAAGACTCTGTTTAGGTTTCCATCCCTCTGAGCAGCCCTCTCAGACTACCTCCTTTCTTCTCACCCAATCAGCCCTTCTGGTTAGGGCCCTCTGCAGTGTGCTGCCATAACCCTTTGGCATTTACCCCTAACCCAGCACTTACCCAACAGGACTGAAACCCTATCTGTTTACTTGCCTATCTCACCACTAGATTATAAACTACTTAAGAGTAATGGTGGTTCTTGCTCATTTTGTACTGTTACTTCTTAGCGTGATTCTTGCCAGTGTTCAGTAAATGTTTTCTTCAAAAGCTTTTATATACTTGTAGTGAGGTGTGTTAATAAGTAGCCTGACAAATTTTAGAAAGTCAAAATGTTATTCTCAGAGTAGATTACTTACTCATGAATTTATATTCCACTCACTTAAAAAATTGCATAGAAGGTCTAACATGAGTTTAACTGCATGTGACCAAAACAAAGTTCAGTCCTTCATTTTTCCTCTAGTATATCTGGCTCCTATTTGGCGTTCTGGATTAGAGGATGTAGAGAATTTTAAGAGATAAGCAACTAAAAATAATATTTAGCTTTCACAAATTTATCTGCAATTCTATTTTAGAGTTTCATAATTCTTTAGAGTTGATTTAAGTTATAGCCAGTTGCAACTTATTACAGTTTTTACTGAAATGCTCTTGATAATAGAAACGGCTATGAATGTAGGTTATACCTAGCAATAGCTCCCTTCATACCATGAAATATATTGTATTTTTTGTATGCAAGCAGAGAATGAGCAATATGTATTAGTTTTATAGCTTCTATAGTATCCTTATAGATTGAGGTGTTTTATAATCCTATTTTCATGCTCCTGAATATTACTTCAGATTTTTTCTCATCTAAAACATTCATATCAACGGGAGATGGAGTCTGGCCTAAATTAACGATCAAGCCAGCAGGTTTGAAAATAAATATGTTTTATTAATGTTAAGTATTGTATGTTATAAAATAAAACATTAGTGAATATTAAGTAAAACTAAGTAAAATGGATAAGTTACAGTAGGATTGCTTTCCCTAAATGTTATGCATTAAGGGCCTGAACATTCGTATGTATTTCCACATTGTTACTAAATCAATTCACTTATATTGTTGGTGGCATGATTTTATTAGTGACATCTAAATTAACTCACATCCATTGGATCATGTTACGTATTGTATGATTCATTAATACCTCTGGAAATTCATTTCTATGTACATTTGTAGATATAATACATTTCTTTCAAAGCTATTCTATTTGTATTTATGAAACATATTCATAGACGTTTCAGGAATACTTTTGGAAATTCGTTTCTACATACGTTTGTAGGTAAAAATTGTATGTATTTGCCTGCACCAAACATGCTAATTTAATAATGTCTATTAAAATTCTAGAACTAGTTTAGTAAATTAATTTATTTTTATCTCTCTCCCTTGTTCTTCTTTAGAGTACTCATGACTTTGATTATTCCTCAGATCTTTGTTCCTAGAGATCCTACAGTATTATCTTCGATTATAGCCAGTAGCCCATCTTTAAAATGTGTGTTCCTCTCTGTATCAGATTTCTAACTATTGTATAGAATTGAATTTG